AGAATTGATTTATTTTAAATAAAATTACTCAGTTGTGTAATTTGCAGAAAGTTGGATAAAGGCCATGTTTTCCCTGCTCTTTGAAGTCTTCATGAAAAAACATGACTTCAGTGGGAGCAAGACCACAATAATTTATCCTTTATTACTGTTTTTCTCCATCTCTACCATTTTAAGCTAGGTAATACTGTTTGTTCTGTCAGCAGTCTTAATAATGTATTATACTTTAAAAATTACTATTTTGGGAATCATGGTGGGGTTTTTTTTGCAAGACCAAAGTGCTTGCTCTTGGGCTATAAATCTATGGTGGTTGGTTAAAAGGTTAAATGTACATTAACTTGTCCTGTCACTTTGACCTAGATAGAGTTAAAGGAAGTAGTGGGGCAAGTTCAGTGGCTTAAAATGAGCTATTATTAGTCAAATCCCTGCAAAGCCAAATGAATGTTATGTCATTCTGTTTTATAATTTTCAGCCAGAGAGCTCTGGCCGACTGGTAACTTCACATATTCTGATCTATGCTTTCCTGTTAGCAATATGTTTCCTGTCCTGGCACTCCAGTCTCTACGTTTTTTCTTATTTTGGCCCAGTGGAAAATAAAGTGTTACTGTAAATAGAGTTAAAGCTGTGTGTTATTCATGAAACTAAGTTTAAAGACCTTCCCTTTCAGTAAAACTGGGGAAAAAAAAGATGCCATGGCCAATAGTATAGCTAGCAGTATGAAGAATATGACCAGGGCTCATATTCCTGAACACTGGCACATGTTACAGCGAGTGCAGTGAGTCTGTTGCACTCAGATCTATTGCTTATGTAATTTATATATGGCAGTGTGAGTACATGTGTACGGATGTCCACAGTTGTTCATGACTTGGAGCTTGTGCTCAGCAAGTCAAGAACAATGCTGGAACTTCAGAGCGTCCTGGTACTCCTCCTGTTTTGTCCAGATGTGATTTTTGAGTTGAACCAGTAGACACATATGTCAAGATCTGGAAGCTTCCCAGCTCTGCACGTGGAACAGAAGTGGGTGTAGCATTCTGTACACTGATCTTCTGTTCTGCAGTATGTGTCTGCAGACATTGGTCTGTTTAGGTTGTGGTTGTGTGGGCTGGTTCTGTGGTCTCAAGCAGCAGTGACAGGGGCATGTTCAAGGATGTGATTGATTTTTCATTTGTTGTGCTTTTTTGCCTAAAAATTCCTACATTTATTTTGTTTTGGTTTTACTCTGTCCAATATTTTGATTTGGAAAGCATATAAACAAAATGCTACTTTATAAGAAGGATATTCCTGTTTCTTCCATGTTCCTTATGCCTAGATTCTGCTTAATAATTTCTATCTTTCCATGTGCATTTTTTAGTCAAGTAAATAAGATAGGTTTAGTGAGATCTTTTTGATTATACAAGGATCTTTTCAGTGTGAAAACAGAAAGGTGAGTAGTAATATTAGCTAGTATATATTATAAAGTTCGTTTTTGTAGAAGAAAATGTTAGCTTTTGTAGAAGAAGCACAAGGTTGTAGATAGCAGTTGTTGTAACCATTCATCCTTGATTCATCCCTGAAAGTAGGATATATTTTCATAATGCAGGCATGTTTTGGAGGAAGGTAAGAGGAAGGTGAATATTTGTGTATTTTTGTTCCTGCTCTTATTTTCCTTCATCCTTCTCAGTTTTGGTACACTTGCAGTTTTGACAAGATTTTCTCTCTTGCCAGAGATCAACAAAAGCAAATAATGTGTTCAATAGCATTTTAAAGAGTACCTAAAGTTTACTTACATTTGCTCAGTTCTCCTGTGCATAGACGGTAAGAACACTGAAGTGGGGAAAAGCTCATCTACCTGGTGTTCCTGCCACTTCTACTTCAGCCCCACCAACATCAGCAGAAGTCACTTGAAGCTGCTTGCCTAACTCATGCTGTCATCTTTGTGGAGCAAAAGCCAATGCTGGCTGGTGGAGTGATGTGGAACAGGCATGTTCTTGTCCCATTCAGTGTTCTTTTTTGTGTTGTGAGGTGAGCACTTCTTGTCATTAGGTGTTGTATGAAAATCCTGAGTCCTGGGCAAGCTCCCAAGGTGACTGGGTAAGGTGAGGTAGCTGCTGTGGCACACTGCCTGAGTAATGCCATGCAGCGACAACAGAAGTGGGAAGTCTCAGCGTGCAGACGAGCCACGCTGTCTAGACATGCTGCTATTATTTCTTTGCTCAATTCAGTGTGTAGCCAAATATCTTTTCAAGTGTACTAGACAGATGTGAGTACAGTGCCCACAGCCATAGAACAGCGAAGGCTCTTAAATGCATGTGCGCTCTCCTCCACACCCCTGCCAGATTTAATCAAACTGCTTGGTCATACCAGCAACTTTAGTACCATATTCTATCAACAGCAGAAAATAGCATTCCTATTTGTTTGTTATTAAATCTAGTGAAGATTTCTTCCACTAGTACACAACTAGAATACACCTATGTGTATTTTTATCCATGTGTATTTTATCCCCCGCCCCCCCATTCTTTTAAATTAATGTGCTTCTGGGCAAATAAAATGTACCATGGCTGAATTCCCCTGTTGTATGCCTCTGTTTGTCATTGAGAGCAGGGACAAACAGCTATTTGAAAAGTGAGTTTGTCTGTTGTTTTCCCTGGCCATTTTCATAAAAGTTTTTGTCTTTAACTGAAACTGATGATCAGTTTCAGAAGTTATTTTGAAAGGAAAGAATGGGAAACTCAGGTATGAGACAAAACCACTGTAGCCTTTTTGCCTTAGCAAATGATCATAAACCAAAGCGAGATTAAACTAAAACATGGTTGTATATCTCCCAGGAAAATAATTGATTTTTTTTTGCAGTTAGTCTTCTGATTTTGGTGGCCTTATTTACAATTTCTGTAAGACTGGTTTGGAGTTGGCTGAGTTGGCCTAATTTTAACTTAACTAAGTGAATATTCAGGCTAGTTTCTGGTGTTATCTTACCCACAACATGTACTGTATTGTACCCAATTAGAGTTCCACCACAGTAATAGGAGCAGCAGGGTTGACATGAATGAATGTAAGGGCAGCAAGTGGTGAATCTGTAGAAATGCAACCTTTATGAGTTGGTTTGTGTGTGTGTGCATGTTTTCCCTAAATCAGTAAGGTGGATTCATACCCTGCTTTCCAGTTTTGTTTAGGTAATTATTACCATTAGAATAAAAGTAAACTTACCAAACCTTTTATTTTAATCAAATAAAATCTGAGGTGTTTATATAGAAGTAAGAATCGTGAAGTCAGTGGTGAAGGGAGAGCGGGCAGGTTGAAACGCATATAGAAAGGGCTAGTACTGTTTGGCTTGTTTAGAAAAATTGAGGTATACAGCCTTCTTTGTAATGTTTCAAAGCCTAATAATTCAGCTGCTCATTCTGGTGTAGTGAGTGTGTACATAAATCTGTAAGATGCATGCTGCATCTTAGAGATGGATTTCTTGTAGTTGCCTGTAGAACTTACTGCACAGTAACAGTTATAATTAATTACTTGACAGACTGAATGTCTCAGAGTAGTTTGTCATCAACATGCACGGGTG